TGCTGTCAAAATGACAGCTAGGTGTTCATGTGTAAATACAGAAGCTGTTGAAGATGCAGCTATCCAGAAATAGACCTTATGTCATGGTGTTTCTAAACATTGATCAGAGGGAGATAGAGAGATACAAAGTAACATTGTATATAAACATTGATCAGAGGGAGACAGAGAGATACAAAGTAACATTGTATATAAACATTGATCAGAGGGAGATAGAGAGATACAAAGTAACATTGTGCACTGATGCACTGTCTCCTGCTCCTCCTCCTTCCCACCACCCGCACCCCCCCTCCCCCCATACAACCATGGGGAGACCTGCAGAGCCCTAGGCATTGCCGTGTAATGTATTGCTGGGATTTGTAGTCCTCTATAGTTGGTGATATTCTGCTTTGCTGGGATTTGTAGTCCCTCTACAGCTTGGAGTAAGTGGCAGAACTACCAGGGGCTCAGCATGTGCAGCTATGACCGGGCTCTGGCGCTCCGCCACTGTCCTGAAATCATTAGTCTGTATTGTTTTAGAGAAACTGTCACATGACACTAAACAAAGTATCGGTAATTGGTATCGGCGAGTACTTGAGGAAAGGGATCGGTACCTAGTTATTGCATCCCTAGTTTCGTTGAATGCTTGTCCCAAGTTTGCGATTCAGACTATGACAAGCCAGGTGCAGCCAGGCAAACAGCATGTTTGGCATGAGGCAAGCAGTGGCAGACCCCACATTACAGTCACCTGGTCATGTGTCCTGGTGACTACTGTCATTGAAATTCAAAATGTTGAGTTGTCACCTGAACAGGAACAGAGAGGAAATCTTCCAGTGTGGTCACCTGTTCTTCCTAAGAGGGGATTTCCTCTATTTTGAAGAGATTTTATGATCTAAACCAAATCACTAAAATCTCATGTAAGCTGTCATGTCATTTCAAAAGTTTTTTTTTTTTCCAATCGGCAGCTTTTATTTAAAAAAATCCCTTGTGATCCTGTCAGAAAGGTACTTCCTGAACAAGGGTGACAACATTCTGTCCCTGTTTCTGAATTGTGCTCTTATGTTGTCACCCTGTCACACGAGCATCCGATAGAGACTCCAAGTGGCTGTTTTAATACACATTACACAGGCATAGTCCGCTGTTGTCACCATCCTTTGATTCACCTTAGTACTGCTGATCCCCTTCAGTCTTTTTGCAGCCACTTCCTATCTACATGCACTTCAGCTGTGGCTCTGTATCCCAGTTATGATCCTGTGTTGTCACCCTGTCAAATGGACTTCTGATGGAAACTACAGCTGGCCATTTCAGCACACATTACACAGACAAGGTCCGCTGTTGTCTCCATCACTAAACCTGCCCTGAGAAATGTCATGCAGCCATCGCTGGAGTGCATGCAGACAGACAGGAAGTGGCTGCAGGAGATCAACAGCACTGAGATGAATCGAAGGATGGTGACAACTAGGGATGCACCGATACCGATACTAGCACCCGATACTCACACTCGCCCAAATGCTCCGATGCCTAGCCCAATACTTCCGGTATCAAGAAAGCCGGGGAGCGCGTCATTACACGCTGCCCGGCTTCCTGATTGGCCGGGAAGCCGGGCTTCATGCTCCCTCGTCACTTGTGACGAGAGAGCATGGAGCCGGCTAAGTGAGTCTTTACATGCCTCCTGGCTTCCTTAATGGGACTTCCGGTACCGGTTTTCGGTATCGGCAAGTGCCGGGAAAAATATCGGTTCTGGTAATCGACACTGAAATACCGATATCATTGCGTCCCTAGTGACAACAGTGGACCATGCCTGTGTAATGCGTGTTGAAATGGCCAATTGTAGTCACCGTAGGACACACCCATGTGAGAACATAGAAGCACAATTGCGGGAATGGTGTGGTCACCCTGTGACCTGTGAACAGGAAGTGCCTTCACGGCAGGATCACCAGGCATTAACATAATGAGAGTTGCAGATTTCCATTTTGATTGGCTTGGCATGGATTTGAAGCCGCTCACGGTCACGTGTGATAAATAAAAATGATATAAAGTCTGTTTTGGGCCTTTCTGAAAGTCCTCCTGACTGCAGGCAGAGCGCAGCGCTGTGAAGGAGACTGCTTTGCCTGTAACACTTGCCATCTCGAGATGTGTCAGCTGCTTTGGGTTTATTA